AAGAGACGCTAGCATGCGGACTCCTGCTGCCCTTTGAATGTCCTCCCGCATTGGGCATGGTTCTCACTTGGGCTGCACTCTGTCCCTTCCTAGGGCCTTTCCACAGGTACCAGCAGAGTCCTTCCCCATGTCGGTCCAGCTGGCAATGGCCAGTGCCTACTGACAGCTATTGATGCCACATGCTCAGAGCCACAGGCCTTGTCCCCTGCCTGCATCCCGTGTGAGCTTCTGTCCGCCCTCTGTAGCCCCTACTTTACCCCACCCCCTGGTCTGGGCTCCCCACTCAGCGGACACCTGCCTCCTGCTTTACAGAGTGAGACAGTCGAGTGTCACTGTGTCCCGCATGCACACCTGCCTGCATCTGGGCCTAGGTCCATCCTCTGCCTCCTGAGGGCCTCCTTCCCCAGGCATCAGCCCTTCCTGCTGACACAGGCAAGAAGCCCAGGAAAGACTGAGAAGTGGGTCTTCTTTCTCAGCAATAAAGCACATGTGTGTTTCTCTAGTCCTTAAGACACGTCTGATATGGGCACACTGTCCCCTCAGCAGAGAGGCCATGGTTCTTGCTCTCCTTCCATGTCCATGACTGCCTTGTTCTGGTCCTTGGAATGCACTTCCTGAAGCCACCGACTGAGTCCAGTGGACACTGTAGTCTTTGGCGTTGGTCACTGATCACCCTCCTTGAAATGGCCTCCCTCTCTGGCCTTGTCAGCCCTTTGTTCTGCCACTTGGTTCTTCCCCGGTCACTTCTCAGTCTTTCCTGGGCTTCTTGCCTGTGTCCCGGGCATTTGGTGGTCCCTAGAGTTCTCCCTGTGCCCAGTGCTTCTGGGTGACTTGTCCCCCGTGGGCATCCATATCCACGCTTTCCTCCCATTGGAGCCACTCCCATTGGTCCCACAGGCATTGCATCCAGCATGGAGCTCATCTCCCATGCCTTGACTCCTCCCCTCCATGCCCCGGCCTCTTGTGGTAGGAAAGGGGCCACCCTGCACCAGCCAGCAGGGTCAGGGCCTTGGTGTCCTTCATTAAGTTCTGGCCCATTACTTCTGCTTTCCCGGGGCTACCTGTGCATCAGCCTCCATTCTCCCCCTGGTAACTGGCAGCTGTGGCCAAGCCCCCCTCCACTCCTTCCTAGGAACTCCAGCAGCGCTGTCTCCTCTCCCACAGACCTCCATGCTCTCTGCCCCTCCTGGGCAGGCTTGCAGCAAGGGCTCAGCTCAGAGCCTGGCACTGAGTTCAGACTGTCCAGCTCATCCCTCAGGGACAGTTAGAACCGCCATTGCTTGCTAAGATGTTCTCACATCACTGTTGCCTGCTTTTCCTTGCCCCAGTACCTGCCCCGCCTGACTGCTGCCTTCTCTGGGAAGCTTTTCTATCTGTACCCCTTACTACCTCCCCGGGCTCCGACAGTCCTCCTGGTGTGGCACCCCCATGGTTTGGAAGCTGCCTGTTGGTTTTCTGTCCTTAGAGACCAACTCAAGCTGTGACTCTTACCTCCTCTTTTGATGTCCCAGCATTGTTGTATGTGTTCTGGTTCACGTAGATGCTTAATAATTGTTGAATGAGTGAATAATTCTGATGAGTTATCTTATTGATTTATAGAAGAAATGAAAAATAAACTCCAATTCTCTGGTTTCTCTTCAGATCGCATACATCTTTTGCCTTTTACTAAAGATTTCCATGGAGAGGAACAATTCTGAGTCTTAACCCAATTTTTTGAGGCCTTGCTCCTGCAAGGCTAACAATGTTGTGGAAAAAAAGAGTTTTTAACAAGTGGAAAAAAAAAAGCTCCTAGCAATAGAGTCAAGGCATTACAAAACTCTTTTTTTAAAAGCTGTTGCTGAGTTTGATCAAACACTAGAGATTTCAGCACTGTGCACACAACTCCCCTGGCAGGTGACTTTGCTGAAGTTCAGCCCAACATCTTAGGGCAGTGTTGTCAGCAGGGCCATAGAGGGTGTGGCCTGGGGGCAGGGGCATGGGGATGGAGGGGTAGTACATTGATGGGCCCAGTGGGGCTGGGGGCAAGAAAAATGCCTAGTTGGGAGGGCTTTGTCATGTAAATGCCCCATTTTCCTTAAACTCTCAGAATCCCCAATCTGAGATGTATATGGATCTGTTGTGATTCATAATCATATATGATGAAACACTGATTGTATGAGTCACTTTCTTTTTTTTTTTTGAGTCAGAGTCTCACTCGGTCGCCCCGACTGGAGTGCAGTGGCCCCTCCCGGCCACCACAGCCTGGACCTGCTGGGCTCCGGCGATCCTTCCGCCTCAGCCTTCCAAGTAGCTGGAACTATAGCCACGCGCTACCATGCCCGGCTCATTTTTGATTTGTTGTAGAGATGAGGTCTCGCCAAATTGCCCAGGCGGATCTCAAACCTGCGGGCTCAGGCAATTCACTCACCTCAGCCTTCCAAGGCGTGGGATTACAGGTGATTACCTTTGAAAGTGGGCTCCCCATCCCTGTACCGTGCCCCTCCCCCACTGAAAATGTGTGTGTTTGGTCCATTGGAAAGAAATGTAACATGGTGAACCTCTTCACTCAGCTTTGAGGACTCCCTGGCTTCGCACTCACCCTGAGTTTGCTTTTTCCAGCCTTGCCAGGTTACTGCCCTGAGGTAGACGGTGTCTCTCTGCACCTGTGGTGTGGATATTGCCACCCTTCCTGGGTCCACCATTGCCATCTGAGGCCAGCCAGCTAGCCAGCTACTCTGGGTCTCATCTGACCGACCTGCCCTGCCCCAGCTCCATCCTGAGGGGTCCCGGAAGATCTCGTGCTAGTTTATATGGTGCTAGTTTCTACCCTTCCAGAGAGAAGGGTGTCACAGTTTTCCTGCAGGAGAATGACTTAGCCCAGGCCCCATACATCTCATGGAGATGATGGCTAGGCAGTTCAGGGGAGCGACTGGGCCAGAATGTACTCTTGGGGTCACCATGTGTCTTTGGTCTTTTAAGCCCGAGTGGAGCAGGTCATCTGGAATTAGATGGGAAGTGCCTTTCTGGTGTTTGGGGGCATGAGGGGACCTAGCACAAGAGAGTACGGTGGGACAGATAGTGAGGTGGTAGAGCACAAAGAGGGCGGCTCTCGCCAGGAGCCTGGATCTCGGCGAGTCCTGAGTGAGATAAAAGCAGAAGGCAACTGTTGTGCCCCTCCAGCAGCCAGTGTGAACCTCTTCACTCAGCTCGAGGACTCTCTGGCTTTGCACCCGCTCTTACTTCCCTCCCTCTAGAACCAGTCCCATGGCCCATGCGTGTTTTCCTGGGCTTCCCGGCTGTCCCACCATCTCCTCTTGCCCTGGCCGGCTAACTCCGTGGGGGGGTAAGGTGGCTCCCTCTCTCCTGTTGCCTCTTGCTCAAGAGCAGAGACCTTCCTGCTGTTTATCCCTTTTATCACTGACTGACCCCATGTGTTTGAAACTCCAGAGGGCTCTGGGCATGAGGTTGCACAGTGAGGTTGACCGGTATGGGTTTTGATCCTGGCTCTGTCCACTCAGCCAGCCTTCCAGAGCCGGCTCTGACCACCCAGGACTGCTGTGGTGACCAGTTAGATGCGCGCGACATGCCTACACGGAAGTACTGTGTACATGTGGCTGCCACTGTGTAGCAGTAAGAGGCCAAGTGTGGTGTGTGACAAGACTCCACAACCCATCACTTGGTGGCACAGGGCTCAAGAAGGTCATGCTGGTGTAGAGAGTCAGAGGGTGGAGGCATGCTGCTGCTGCTAGGAATTCTTGCCAGCAGCTCTCCAGTGTGGGTGTGGGAGCGCTGGGTGCAGGGCTTGAGAAGGTTGTGTTCGTGATGGACAGAGGGCAGAGACATGCTGCTGAGAATCCTTGCCAACTGCTCTCCTGGGTGTGGGAGCGCAGGAAGAGGGCGTCTAGCCTCACAGTGCTCATCTCTTGTGTCAGCACTAGGGGTCGGTGAGCTTTCCTCATTTGATGTTCTTGGAGTCAGTAGCTCTTTCTCCACTCTTCCGTAGGTGTGGATAGCTACAGAAGGTACCATGGGTGGCACTGCTGTCTGCACCACCTGCCTTGGCAGAGTCTTGGGACATGGAGCATGCAAAAGGCCTGGGGTTCTCGCGTTTCCCAAGTGCATCTGACTGCAAAGACCCTCCCCTCGATCTTGTGTGTGTTGATATCTTGTAAGAGTGTGAGGGGCATGGCTGGGGCTGCTGTGTGGACTTGGGACCTTCTAGAAAAGTGGATGGAGCCCATATGACACGTGACTGTCCCTAGTGTGCCTTTGTGGGAGGTAGTGTATGTAGTGGTTAAGAGGATACTGTATGCTCTCTGGGTGAGATTGTGTGGATTCTTGCTGGCTTCTGCCTCTGTGACCAGGGGCACTTGACCTTTTCTGAGCCTGAGTTCCTCGGTTGTCATATGGAGTGGTCCTGATCTGTTGGCATCGTGATGACAGATAAGCCCTGTGGTTCATGGGGAGAGCCTGCTGCTGCCTGGTCCAAAGGTGGATGGAGGCTCGTGGCTGCTGTTCTGTGGTCAAGGTTACAGGGTCCCATATCTGGCTGTCTCTGTAAAGGCCATGGGTGTTTGACCTCTTTTGTCACCTCTGATTTGACATCATGGGTATGCTGCGCTTGCTTGCTGTGGCTGGTGCTGCCTGTGCCCACATGCCCCCTCCTCTGGTGTCACTGGGCTCTGCACAGTCTTGGCCTGGCTACATCTTGGTTTCCCCTCGGCCTCTTGCATGCCCTGTGACTTGCACATCTTGATATTGGAGGTCATGGTGGTAGACACGAGATGACTGGGGTTGTCCATATCCCCAAGGATACTGGATGTTCTGGTTGCCTTTGTCAGGATAGAAAGTGGTGGACTATCGAAGTAACCTGGGATCTTTCATGCTGTTGGTTGCCAGTGCGTGGATCATGCTTTGGTCTGGGTCGTGCTGAGGGACACCAGTGGGTGGCGTTGTCCTGTGGCAGTTGGGATTCTGGATGTGTGCGTGCTGCTCACATATCGTCCCACGTTATTCTAGATAACATCCCCGAGGACCTCCGTGACCCCTTCTACATTGACCAGTATGAGCAAGAGCACATCAAGCCACCTGTGATCAGGCTGCTGCTGTCCAGTGAGCTATACTGCCGCGTGTGTAGCCTTATCCTCAAGGGTGACCAGGCAGCTGCCCTGCAGGGACACCAGTCTGTCATCCAAGCCCTGTCCCGGAAGGGCATCTACGTGATGGAGAGTGACGACAGCCCTGTGACAGACCCCGACCTCAGCTGCGCCCCCATCAAGATGGTGAGTGCTTGACGGCTGGGTAGCGTGAACGCAGAGTGCGACTGGGAAGGGGGTGCCTATGCGGTGTGTCCCTTCGTGAGTTATGTGTTGGTTAAGCCCAGACTTGTTTTGGAAAACAGATTAAAGCGGCTTCTTTTGGCCCTTTTCCTCATTACGAATGCTTTATTCACAGCAAGATTGAGGGGAGATCTGTCAGTAAAAACATTCGGGGGAAGCTTTACAGATGATGTGAGGCTTAACTGTTGAACCCCTTCTGTGCCATGCATGCCTTCTAGGTGTTTTTGTGCTAAAGTAAAGAAATGTGTGCCCTTTCCTCCCCTGAGCAACCCTGCTCCCCTGTCTCTAAAGCCATACTACTGATGTCCCTGTCAAACTGTTCTAGGTCTAAACCATCTTTAGTGCCTCCCTCATTTCTTATTGAGGTAGTTCATTGGCATTTTGCCTCTGTGACTTTTCACTGTCAGGTTTGTGAGTGAAGAGAATGTTCCTTGTGTTTTGTGAAGACATGGCACGAAACTGTTGTGCAGTTTTTACCTGCAGAGCTCTGGACTGATGACCAGAGACCTCTGGTGGTCAGCAGCCTTGGCCAGTTTCCTCATTGTACCATTCCCCAGCCTGAGTAGGAACACCACTACCAACCAAGGGGGTCCCTCAGGGGTATTGGGGCGATCACGAAACAAAACAAGGAGGAACAAAACACACCACCCTGCAGGCTGTGGAGCTGGCCTTCCCTGGCCTGGGGAGGGGCTCTTGAGTCCCTAATCGTCCTAAGGCTCATTGACTAAAACACTAGGCTTGAAGTGATGGGAGGAAGGGCAGATCGTACTATTTCTGTCCCAAAAAGGAGATGAAGTAAAGAAGTGAGGTCAGATTTGGGGTTTGAACAGATTTCCTGTTGAACAGACTTGGGGTTAGAGCACAGTAAGGGGTGGGCTTGGGGGTATAGCTGTTGCCTCTGCCCCCAGAGTGCCCACATGGCGATGGTGGACGCCCTGATGATGGCCTACACTGTGGAGATGATCAGCATCGAGAAGGTGGTGGCCAGTGTCAAGCGCTTTTCCACGTTCAGTGCCTCCAAGGAGCTCCCATACGACCTGGAGGATGCCATGGTGTTCTGGATTAACAAGGTGAGTGCCCGCCAGGGCTTGCTTCCCTTGGCTGGTCCTTGTCCTCTGAAGACTGCATGCTTCGTGTCACGGCGAAACCCGTCCTGGGTACCCTCATTTGAACGTCTAGAAGTGTGTCTGCTGTGATTGAGAAAGCAAAGTGAGCAGGCGTCCCCCTTGAATATCAGAGTGGGGGATGAGTCATGTTGATGTGCCGTCACTTGTGGTTTAAGTGAGGAAGGGCCTTTGCTTTCATTTCGTGCCCCTTTAGGCAATAAAGGAGCACTTGTCTCTAGAAGGTGCTTTGATTATTGAGAGAAAAATGGCATCTTCTCAAATACCGTTCTTTCCTTTGCACTTAGACACTTATAGTGTGGTTTTTATGCAATATTTGTAAGGAATGTTTATTTTTGGTAGTGTGTTGTTACTTATGGGGTTGCTTTACCAAAGCCTTTGGTTAGTAAGCATCTTTGTTTGCAAAAGGGTGTTGCGGTGTGGGCATTGGCAAACAAAGGAGTAGAGATGGGCAATTTTGTGAAAGATTGTGGCCATGTGTGCTGCGTGAGAGCTGTGTGGCATCTGCAATTACTTGGTTATGTGGTTTGTACCTGCATAGCCAGGCCAGTGGCTGTGTGACAGGCTAGCCTTCTTGTCGGGAGTTGGCAGAGCCTGATGCCATGACTTCCTCTAAGACAGTGACCCTGCTGTCTGGTTGGTTTTCTACCCAAACTCGATCATGGGGAGTTGGGAGGATGGGCAGACCCCTTTAAATCTCATAATCCTGTGGTGAGGTGGAAGGCAGAAAGCTGCTGGGCATTCTAGAACTCACTGGAGCCTATGGGCTCAAGTTCTGGCTAGGGCCGTCTCTACCTCACTCTGCCTCTTGGTGGTGGGTGCCAGGTTTCACTCTCTCTCTGCCCATGAGGACACCTCTTTATGGTGGGAACTGTGTGTTCATGCTGCATCTGCTCATGAAGATGTCTCTTTGTGGTTGGTGCTGTATCTCATTCTGTCTCTGCCCACGAGGATGCCTCTTGGTCATAGGCACTGTATTTTACTGCACCTCTGCCCATAAGAGCGCCTTTTTGTGATGGCCACCAGGTCTCTGCCTCTGCCCACAAAGATGCCTCTTGGTGGTGGGCGCCAGGTCTTACTCTGTCTCTGCCCATGAGGATGCCTCTTGGTGGTGGGCACTGTGTCTCACTCTACCTTTTCCCATGAGGATGCCTCTTGGTGGTGGGCACCATGTCTTACTCTACCTCTGCCCATGAGGACGCCTCTGTGATGGGCACCAGGTCTCTGCCTCTGCCCATGAGGACTTCTCTTGGTGGTGGGAACTGTGTCTCATGCCGCTTCTGTCCATAAGGACAGCTCTTCATGGTAGGCACTGTGTCTTCCTCCACTTCTGCTCATGAGGGTGCCTCTTAGTGGTAGATGCTGTGTCTCACTCTACATCTGTCCATGAGGACACCTCTTGGTGATGGGTATCAGATCTCTGCCTCTGCCTACAAGGATGCCTCTTGGTGGTAGGCACTGTGTCTCACTCCATCTCTGCCCATGAGGACACTTCTTGGTGGTGGGTGCTGTGTCTCATGCCGCTTCTGCCCATGAGGATGCCTCTTCATGGTAGGTGCTGTGTCTCACTCCACCTCAGCCCACGAGGACACCTCTTGGTGATGGGTGCCATGTCTCACTCTGCCTCTGCCCATGAGGATGCCTCTTGTTATGGGTATCGTGTCTCACTTGTCCCCTGGTCTTTGTCTGACAGCATGCATGTGGAAAGTGGTCACAGTGATTCTGTTGAAACCTGGTCTTTAGGATGGTGCGCGTTTCCAGGGGAGTTTGACCTGGGTGACATTCCTGTAATCCTAGCAGAAGCTTCCTAGGGTCAAAATTCAAATTTTAACTTTTCTTTCTTTCTTTCTTTCTTTTTTTGAATTGGAGTCTCATTCTGTCATCCAGACTGGAGTGCAGTGGCATGCTCCTGGCCACCGCAGCCTCGACCTGCTGGGCTCCGGCGATCCGTCCACCTCAGCCTTCCAAGTAGCTGGAACTACAGGCGTGCGCTACCATGCCTGGCTAATTTTTATGGTTTATTGTAGATATGAGGTCTCGCCAAGTTGCCCAGGTGGGTCTTGAACCCGCGGGCTCAGGCAGTTCACTTACCTTGGCCTCCAAAATCACGGGATTACAGGCTGAGCCACCGAGCCCAGCCCAAATTTTAACTTTTCTTTAATAACTTTTGCTGATTTTTTCTCTTATGATAAAAGAAATGACATGGATATTTTGGAAAATTTAGAAACGGTGGATGAGCAAAAACCCAAAATGTGAATTACTCATAATCTTACCATCCATGAAAATAGTATTTTGATAAAAATTCTTTTTCTTTTTTTTTTGAGTTGGAGTCTCACTCTGTCACCCAGACTGGAGTGCAGTGGCCGCTCCCGGCCACCGCAGCCTTGACCTGCTGGGCTCTGGCGATCCTTCTGCCTCAGCCTTCCAAGTAGCCGGAATTACAGGTGCGCGCTCCCATGCCTGGCTGATTTTTTGATTTATTGTAGAGATGAGGTCTCGCCAAGTTGCCCAGGCGTGTGTGATGTATTAGGAGTTCATCATGCATTGTCCTTTAAGAGACTTGTACTCAGCAAGGTGCTGGACAGTGCATGTCTCCCCATTGGGTCAGAGCTTGATGTCAGCTGTACAGGAGGCTATCTGTGGCCTGGCTATGGTCTCAGGGATGTTGGGGGACGAGCTGCCTCCTCTCACTCTGTGAAGTGGGCTCTGTGTGCAGTCAGGATGATTCCCCTCAGAAGTAAGGGATGGTTGTGATAAAATGTTCATAGCTGAGGACTTTTGCTTGTTCTTTTTTTTGCTGAATCTGACCCTAAAGACGGATCATTTTCCTTATACTGTTAGTCTATATGGATGTCTTTTCCCATGTCTTCCCCATACATTATAGGCTGTTAAAATTTACTTGCCAATTTGAAAGGTGAAAATAGTGTCTTTTTCTATGTCTTCATTCCTGGTAAAGTTGAAGTTTGAAAAATAGAGCATATGTTTGGCTGTTTTTCTTTCTTCTGGTGAGTTGCTTGTTTGTTATCTCTGCCTATATTTCTTTGGGGAGGGGATACGTCCCTTTACCCTGCTTGAGCAGGTTTTTCCCATGCTTCCTACATATTTATAAATCCCCAGGGTGTTGCCTTTGTGTGTATGTGCATTCAGTGTGTATTCACAAGACAGTCTTTATGTATCCAGAGGCGTCATTTTCCTTGCATGTATATTCTTGTTCCTACCACCATATTTTGAAGAAATACCACTGTAATCCTGGCTCCTGACTTGTCATGAGTTGACATTGTCCACTGATTTAGGATTGTGGCAGACAGTGATGACAGCTCACGTGGCTCTCTGCTTCCATCTTTGTCATTCTCCCATGGTCATGTTAACAGCCGTGGGCACATCCGTGGTCAGACTCTGTTCCATGCTCAAATACGTGTCTTCACAGCTTGGACTGTGCTTTTCTTGAACTTTGCTTAAGTGTTTATGACCTTTTCTCTCACTCATTGTTTATCTTTGTATTCAGTGTTTTCCATGTTTTACTGTTCCTAAGACATTTCAGTGTGGATTTCAGTTACTTTTGTTGTGGTAACATCTCGTTCTGGAGATTTCTCTCTGGTGCAGGGTGTAAGACTGGCTGGGTGCTTCCCATTCTTAGCTTCTATGTAGGGTGTAAGACTGGCTGGGTGCTTCCCATTCTTAGCTTCTAAGGTGTCTTTTCCTGTGCCAACGCCTGATTTCCAGAAAGCCCACTCTCATCGTGGTCTCGCCCCACCCCACCCACTATACCTTGGGCCCTCCAGTGTGACTTCTGGGTGCCCTGCAGCTTCAAGATATGCCTGAGTTTTGGTACCTTCACTGTGCTGGTGGGCCCCCCCTTAAGAGTGCTGCCTGTTTAGCAAGCTTTGGCTTCTGGAGGATTTCCATGATGATACGATTTCCTCCAGCACCAGCTCTTCGATGCCTGCTGATATCTGAGTTCCTTTGAAGCTTGGCCATGGGCACCATGTTTCCAAGAGTCATGCTGTGCTGGTACATTTTCACATAGACCCAGGGTTCTCTCACACCCGTGTCATCTGCCTCCTCCAGGCCTGGCCTCAGCTGGGCGTATTCCAGAGGGCTAACGCCATGTGTTTCTGAGATGGTGCCTTTCTGCATGAGTCTTCCTACCTTCCCTTGGTGGTTGCCTCTAGGTGGAAAGCTGCCTTCCTGGCACTGGGGCACTGCCCTGCCATCTTCCTGCACCAGGCTCTGTGTCCTCTGTGTGACTCGGTGACCTCACTGTAGTTATTCTTTCTCAGGTGTTCTGAAGTTCTTCTATGAACCACCTTGCTGGGGCGCTTTTTATTTTTATTGGTGCCCAGATGGTTGCTTTTGTCTTTTTTAAAAGTGGCTTTGTGGATAAATAACTTACATGCAGTCACTGAATCCGATACCTTGAGTTCTGACGAGTGACTTTTCGTTTACCAATCACCATTCAAGATAACGTTTCCATCACCCCAAGATTGTTCCTTCAGACTTCTTGCAGTTAACCCTTCACCCCAGGCCCTGGTAGCTGCTGAACTGCTTTCTTCACTGTGGATTAGCTTTGTTTCCTCCAGATTTTAATAAAAATGGGACCGTGTGGTGTGTCCTCTTTTTGCATCTAGCGTCTTTTACTGGACAGAATATTTTTGAGATTGATCCGTGGCATCGTGTCTGTCAGTAGTTTAGTTCTGTTTGTGCTTATAGAATTACATTGTACGAGTGTACCATAGTTTGTTTCTGCATTCACCTGTTGATGGACCCTTGGGTTGTTTCCAGTTTTGCCTATTTTGAGTACAGCTGCTAGGAACATTTGTGTGCAAATCTTTGCGTGCAGATATATTTTCATTTCCTTGAATAAATACTTAGGAGTAGAATTGCAAGGTCATATGATAAGTATATGTAACTTAAATATATGTCTGCCTATTTAGATTAAATCTCTA